GCTCCAATATAAGTTATATGAACTTTATTTGACGATCGTTCAACCCGTGTTAGGAATCGCACGTAAAGAAGTTATACCCTGTTTTGATTTCTGAGATTTATCGCTCGTAAATGGGCGACAGCAGAAGACTTGAAACAAGTTTTAAAACAGATTTGATTTATTCTTATCTTTTTTCGGAAATTCTTTTCATATAATTATGGAAAGGCAGCGAGTGAGAGAGGCTTTTGACTCACAAAAATCAAAATTCCCCCACAATTACAAACAATACAACATTGTTGCAGGGTAAATTTCTGTTGACTGATTAATAAATGTATTTTCAATTAATGTTATAAATTATAAAAAAAAATCTCAGTGGATTATCAGAGGTCTGTGTTTAATATTTGGTGAAATCACAATAACAAAAGAGTAATAATTATTTCCATTCGATCGATAATCGGGCCGCGTAATGAAAAAATGTTGTATTCAATATTTATTAAATCATTACAGATAAAAAAAATGCCCCCAAAATACAGTCTCCAAAAAAAATCCGTGATTAAAATTCCAACGTTGAAGGTGCCCCAACTTGTATAAAAATTCTATGATCCTTTCCAAATAGTTACAATAGTCGATCCTTTCAAAATTAGCCACAATTAAGTTTCTAAGCCTAGTTTGAAAGTTCAATATTGAAAAATTAACAAAAGAGTTAAGTTAAAAAAGCAGCACGTTCTATGGAACGAAATAATTATACAAATTACACAAAAAACTATTAAAATATCTAGTTACCCTGCTTTCTTCTAAAAAAATATAGTAATATAACGATCCAAAATCAATTTCCGCTTCTCAATTCCACAACACTTGATGCACACTTTGATAACAAAATTCAACTAGGAAATGTACACTACTCGTAATACTTATACCTTGTATATAGACTAACCCCTACCTAAATTCCCTAAATTTTATTACATATTCCAAAATCCCTTACCTTTGGAAATTCCGCAGATTAGCAGCCCCTCAATAAGAAGATTTAAAATTATTAGGTATCGAAATGAAAAACAGATTCACTCGTTGACGGTAGTTAGATTTCTTCTGTGTCTAAATTCAACGAGGCCGTTTTTTGTTTTCCTCATTCGAAATGAATAAAAACACCCACAATTATGACTCTATAGTTTTGGT